AAAAATAAGACAGACATTGGAGAAATAACAGTACTTGAATAAATGGTGTGGGAGATAGTGAATATTTATGTGAGAAGAAACAGGCTATGATTTGGAACATAAGATACAAAACAAAAATACAGAAGAAAAAATAAGAAAATGACTCAAATATTGGTCTGAGCATAGACTTGTTGAAGAAGATCTGAAAATCAGAGGCATCAATGGGGCTGGCAGGTGGTGTGGTGATAAAGGTGCTGGACTCCCACATGGCTGACTGTGGTTCAAGTCCTGGACCTGGTGACTTCCTTTCTCACTTTCCCTCTTGCTCTTTCTCTGACTCTCTGATCAAACTGGAAAATAATACTAATAAATAAAGTTAAATAAAATAATAGTTTTTAAAAAAAGAAAATCAGAGGCATCAAAATCAAAAAGAGATAACTGGGATTATAGTAAACTCCAACAAAATGATTCTGCACAGCAAGTAATCAACAGGGTGAAGAGACATCCTGGAAGAGAGGTTAAAAGTATTTTCAATCTATTCATCTAATGAAGGATTAATATTCAGAGTATATAAGAAACTTAATAACTTCCACAGCAAATACTCCCAAAAAACAAAGCAAAGCAAGACAAAAACCCCTGATTACAAAATTAAATCAAGATATTTATCAATATTTCTAAAGAAGACATATGATAGCCAAGTATGTGAAAAAATATTCAATGTCATTAATTACCAGCAAAATATAAATCAAAACTACAATGAGGTTTTACTTTACTCCAGTTAGAGTGCCCATTTCTAAAAGACAAAAAATAACAATGGGCTGGATGATGGTAGGGTGATAAAACATGACACACTGCAAAGTTACCTCACATAGGAGGTTTTAGAGTTTACATCTGGAAGCTTACCTGAGAGTGTCAGGCATACAAGTACCCATAATCTGGGGCTTGGCTGAGTCTGGGTTTAGATAAGGTATTTAGACACTGTTTGGAGTGCCTGTTTCTTTGTCTATGGATCTCTCTCCCCCTCTCTTTTACTCATAAAAAAATAAAGTTTAAAATAGTTTTTATTGGGAATAAGATTTGCCAAAGGGTGCATGTGCTTGTCAAAGAAAGACAAAGATAGAGGGAGTGAGAAATCAACCTCTGGGGGGGAGGTCTATACTGCAATCTCTTCTTCTCCATTATCCTCCTGAGGTTTTGGGCAAGCCCACACATGTGTCCAGTGTAATTTTCAAGACACTGCATCCAGAACTCAAACCATGGTGGGCCATAGTGGAGTCCAGTGCATTAATCACCACAAAACCTGCTGGCCACTATGAAACCATTTTTTAAAATAAAAAATTCTGGGCCAACAGGTGGCATGGTGTTTAAGGTGCTGGCTACTGCATAGCCAACTGCATAATTCAAGTCTATGACTGGATGGCTCAAAAAATGCACCAGCCATGTGTGTTTGCTTACCCAAAATCCTGAGAAGAGAATGGAGGGGAAGAGATTACACTTTCTCATTTTCTCTTTTTTCTTTGTCTGCAGTGGCAAGTAATCTGCCCTATAGAAAAATCTAAAAACAAACAAAACCTAAGTGCATTCTGAGTCATTAGTTTGAAAAGTACCTGTTATCAAAGACTGCCCAGGAAGTTCCCTGAGGGTCCCTTGAGTATGACCACTGTTCTTCCTCCTGCCATGGCTGTAGATGATGAGTTGAGCTGTGTTCCACCAAAGGGTCACCAAAGTCCTGGGAGGTCAGGGAGGCTTGGATAGGATGTCTAGGCTGGACCTGATCCTGCAAATGTTTCCATCATTGAGTTGCTCTCACAATACTTTATGCATCCTTAGACATAAAAAGAAGGCCTGGTGGAAAAAGAAGGCATTTTTGGAATGGCCTGGTCTCCTGAGTTTAGATGTGTTTCCTGAAATATTTTTTCTTTATTTTTCTTTTATTCATTCTTGATATTTTTCATGTCATTTGTTTTTAATTATATTCAGTCTTATGATGGCATAAATTGCAAATCTTGGCTGATGGCATTCTCTAATTTAATCCTAGTAAGTTGACAAAGCACCATTACCAATTACACATATACATTAATTCTATAGTTTTTAATGTAGTTTTGAACAGTTATGTAAAGATAATCATGAAAAACAACATAGTCTGACTTACATAACAAAGAATTCAGGGGTTGGCAGATGGGATAATGGTGAATGAGTTGAACTTCCACATAGCTGACAGCAGTTCAAGTCCTGCATGTAGTGGATTATTTTACCATTATCCCCTGTTCTGTCTCTTTGTGATCAAACTGTAAAAATAATAATAATAAACTAACTAATTAAATAAATAATTTTTGAGAAGTTTTTGCTATAGTGTGGATGCATTCACCAGGAAGATAGAGAGAGACAGAGAGGTAGAAAACAGAGAAATCACCCCCCAGGGGGAATGCCCACACCACAATCCCTTCTCCTCCATTCTCCTCTCCGGATCTTAGGCATGCATGCATCAGGACTCAAACTGCAGTCGACCATGGAAGTCCAGCTACATAGTCATTATGCCAACTGCTGGTCCCAATAAATAATTCTTTTTAAAAGATTTAAACATAAAATTTAAATTGCTACTAAATCTCATCACTCTGACATTCTAAAGCATCTAACCTTGCAAATCATTTATAAAATATATTATATGTTACATATTATTTACTTGATAGTTTACATAAACCATACTAAAATATCTTGAAATAAGTAAAAGGTGATATTTCAGATACAGGGAATTCTAATTAGATTGGCCTAGTTAAGACCAAAAACATAAAGTAGCTCTTCCCTTTAAAGAGTTAATGAACAAAAAATAAAACACAAGTAAGTCTGCTTCATTTTGAGAAATGAAGGGATTTCTCTAGTGTTTATATATTCATATAACCATTTACATGCCTAAGTAAAAAAAAAAAAGAGTCCAGTATTTTTTTAGAGGGGGGGGAGTTTTTGCCTTAGGGCATGTGTGCTCACTGGGGACAGAGAAAGAGAGAGAGAGACAGTGAGAGGGAAAAAGAGAAATCACCATCCCAGGCGGGATAACCACTCACACTTACTTATCTTTCATTTTCCATCTAGGAACTGGCACATGCATATACACATGCCTGGTGTAGTGTTCAAGCCACCAAGTCCAGGACTTGAACCATAGTCAACCATATGGCAGTACAACAATGTAACTGCTATGCCATCTGCTAACCTACCAATAAGTTTTTAGTTGGCATTCACCATCATTGTAGAAAGATGAGCATTACCAATGAATTATCAATTATATATTTAGAAAGGGCAAATAGTAATAGCATTTACTAAATCAAAACTACTATCAAAATTTTATAAACCAACATTTACTTAACCATAAGCCAGTCTGTCTTCCTTAGAATAAACTGTCCAACAAAAATATTCTGTCAGCCATTTATGATCTGAGTTCTGGTGTAAGAGATCAAGTAAATGATGGTTCACATACTCCCTTGCCAATTCTTTAGCAGCCTGGGCTCAGTCCACCCCCCAGGGGATTTTGGCCTATTCTCAGCAGGCCTCCTCTCCTGAGTACACCCTCAGACTTTGAGAGTATCTTTGGGACTTGTGAAACACTCGCCTGCATGTTGTACTTCAGTCTGCAACTCGATCCTTTTCACTAAGTTATGTCTCCTTAGCTTGCTCTCACCTCATCAAGAGCTGAAAGATTGGTAGGGGAACCAAGTACCTGAAGTTGCTTTTAAGTGTTCTAGTCTGTAAGACACAGTCCTTTAATAAGAACACAGCTGGGAACTAAGAGTGAAATTTTCTCTTCCAATACTACAGAATCTACTCCAATAAACAGGACAAAAAAAAAAAAAAAAAAAGAAGAAGAATACTACATCAGATGACCAAAAACCCAGCATAGACCTCAAAGAAACATGAGAAAACAAGATGGTAACTCTACACCTGGTGAGCATGGTAGGCTCTAGCCTATGATGGACATCACAAAGAAATATATAGAAATTAAAAAAAAAAATTCTGAACATCCATGGTGACAGAAGTCAATGAAATGTAAGCAAAAATAGACAATCAATTCCAGGAAATAAGGAAATTATCCCAATAACTAAAAGAGGTATTTCATAAAGAGATAGATACCCTAAAAAAGCATCAAATAGAACTTCTGGAAATGAAGACTACAATGAGAAATTGAAATATCCCTAGAAAGTATTACTAGCAGATCAGACCATGCAGGAAAAAAAAAAATCTGAACTTAAAGACAAAGTCTGCAACATAGAACAAACCACCAAAAAGAATTTTATATATATACACACACACACATATATATATATTGTGTGCATATATATATATATATGTTTATGTATATATGTATATATAGACAATATATGCAAAATTCTAGACACCATGAAATATCCATATTATCAATATAATGGTTATTCCAGAAGGTGAATAGGTGACTAAAGTGTGAAATACCTCTTTCATGAAATACTGTTTAAAAATGTTATAAATATAGAGAAACATGGAGAAATTGAGACCCAAGAAATAAAAATGATTCCAAATAGCATCAACATAAAAAGATTTTCCCCTTGACATATCATAGGCATATTGGCAAAATTCAAAGACAAACAATGTTTTTAAAATGACAATAGACACAGGCAGTCTGAGCCTAAGCAGCTCAAGCAACTTTTGCCATGTAGGTAAACTGAGTGTTTTTATTTATAGGGTAAAGCAACACTGTATACATGTATTTTGTGACATTCCATAGATAAGTTGATATTTCACAGACAATAAGAAGCAGGTAAAAAAATCTATAAGGACTTAGACATACTGGCCAGGTGTATCTCTTTGTTACATTTATATTAAAGAGAAAGCTTAATAAACTTTCTATTTAGTGGAAAGAAACTTAGTTGTAGGTATGGGGAGAATATTATTTTGTAAACCTCAAAGGGGTGTTGATTAGGCTATAGAATCTTACAGAGGCAGAGCAGGGATTGGATTTTGTTAATTGGGGTCAGAAAATTATTGAATTCTATCAGATGTATCTGTTGAAAAGCCCCTGGAAAATTTCACCATTCGTTCTGTCTGCAATAAAGGTCAAGAACAGGACAAGCTGTACAGTTTTGCCATAGCTAAAAGGGACCGGTAATGTTTGCTGAGAGCATATCCCCACATCCTCAGGGCCTCTCACCAAATAAGTCCCTACATTTCCCTCTTTTTTGTTTTAAAGCCAACATGACCTGGATTAGTTTGGGAGGAGTTACATACATAGGAGATACATACAGACAACAGTTGATAAAAGTACTACAAAAGTAAGTAATACTTATTTACCACAGAAAGTAAGTAGGATAGCACAAAATATAATGATTCTTCCAATGAAATAGTTGTTTTAACCAAGTGAAATTCAGCCACCCAGTTATCCATCCAAACAAGCTTCAATTGTTATTTTGTTTGATCTTTTAATTCTTTAATTTGTTTAAACAAGTTATAGGAGTTGTTTGTTTGTTTTTTTATTTAGTATCTCTTGAGTATCATTGGCTAATATTTTGATGTCACCACGGGTGCTAGGACTTACTGTGGTTGAACTGTTTTTACTTTTCTTGATCCTCCTCTTTTTCTGAATCTTAGCTGGAAGCTCACTTTTGGACTTTGTAGTGTCTGATGTCAGGCCATAATGTGTAGGTCATACGCACTGACAGGGGATTCAAACTGGACCTATAGGAGTAAGTACAGAGACAAATCCTCTTCTCCAGATTATTAGAGGAGCTGGATGGATCTTGCCAGGTTGAATCTAGTGGCATCTTAAAAAAAAACAAAACAAAACAAAAACAAACAAACAAACAAAAAAAACCCACTTTTGTTTGGGGACTTTTGTTTTTGTGTTGTCAAGTAGTTCTCTATTGATGTGATTTTGGTCAAAAGTCAGATTTAGATGATTCAATTTAGGCATGGTTAAAGCAAGTAACTTGGGGGACCAGCAGTTGGCGTAATGGCTATGTCGCTAGCCTCCCATGTAGTTGATCATGGTTCAAGTACAAGACCTGGTGGCTTAAACTCACGCCAGGTGCTTGTGTGCCCAAGATCCAAAGAGGAGAATAGAGAAGGAATTGCAGCATGGCCACCCCCCCCCGGGGGGGTGATTTCTCACTTTCTGTCTCTCTGTCTCTCTCTGTCTTCCTGGCAAGCGCACATGCCCTGCAGCAAAAATGTCTCCCCCCCCCAAAAAAAGAAAGCAACTTGGCAGCATGGGTATGGGGGCCCTAGATGTCCCCTTTTTTGTTTTAAAAATACATACAGTATTTATCAACAAACTCTAAACTAGTAAATTAAGCTTATTTAGACTGTGTTTTAGCACTTAATAATGTGGCCTATTGTTTTATGCCACCTTAGATGTCGTCTGTCATATATACTTTTTATAAAAATTTTTAATTTTTTAGACCTTTTTAAACATAACTTAAACTGGCTCCCTTCTGGCTGGAACTGCCATGTTCCAGTAATTAACAAAAAAGATGAACACAAAGGGAAA